TTGGGCCCCTCTCTCCCCCCCCCCCCCCTGCTCTGGCGGTCTAATGAGTCATCACGTCTAATATAGTGTATTAGATGTGAGGACACCGAGGGATATTCCAATCGCTGGAGTAGAGAGGCTGCAGAGACCAGTCTAGTAGCCAGGAGGGTCCAAGGTTCGGGTGAGTATATATTTTTGATTTTATACCCCAGACCAAAACAAGCACTTAACCCTTACACTGCAAAGGTTAATTTGTCATGTAAGCTGGTCATACACTATAGCTTTGCGTATACCCGCGCATCATCGTAAAACATTAGTCACAGAGTCTGCGTGTCTGCGTATTTACATCTGTGTGCGAGTTCATGTAGTGACAACAACAGCGTACAGCCATTTACTTTTATGTGAGGCCATACGCGGCATCTGGAGCTCCCTGCTAGGGGGAATATGCCGGCATTTACGGGTGCCTGTGTGCATTAGCACTAAGGGCTCGTTCACATCTAAGCATAGTGTTAATCACATGATGCCATGCGATTAACGCATGCTATTGCACAATGCACCTAGTGTATGTTACTATACACTAGGTGCATAGTGTTCCCATTCATTGCAATAACGTGTTGTGTTGAAAGGAAGTAGTGCGTGTGGCCGGGAGGCGTGTTGGGGTGCCATTCAAATGAATGATAATGCAACGCACAGTAATGCACGCTAGGTGCATTGTGTGATTAGGCTTTATTCATACTTGCATAGTAAGGGTATTTGGGTATTCCTGCGCCAGGAATTCCAAATATATCTTTACAAGCAGCAACTGTTACGTGTTAAAGTTAATGATCGGGTGACAGCGGCCGCATTTTAAAGCAGAAGACCGCATATAATTGTATGTTATACGTTTACATGCGGTCCGGAATAGATCACTTGATCGATCGTGCGTTCAGGGACAGTGATCTATTCATAAGCGCATGTAATCCTATTGCATGCAGAGTGCCAGCGGACTGCCGCTTTCAAATGTGGCCGCTGTCACCTGATCATTAACTTAAGCGGGTGACAGCGGCTGCTCCTAAACGCCATATCTGGGATTCCTGCTGCAGGAATTCCCAAGTTCCTGAGGTAGGTATACCAAAACGCACCTACTATAATAGTGTGAACACAGCTTTAAAGAACAACTCCAGGAATAAATTGTATTAACCCTTCGATTGCAGTTGGGCTACCCCTGCAGTGTAAGGATTAACAGGTTGTTTTCATCTAGGGACTAAAATAAAAAAAGTTGTACTCACCCGAACCTCGGAGCTGACGGCTGTCAAAGTGCTCCCTCCAGCTCCTCTCCTCCGACACTGCAGCGATAGTATGTCCCTTAGCGTCAGTGTATTGGATGTGATGTTCTCTTTAGGCTACTGTACTACAGCGTTGGGGGGGAGCGAAGTTGGAAGAGAAAACCGATTCGGAGGATTGGGTGAGCATAACATTTTTATTTTAGTCCCTAGATGAAAACGAGCAGTTAACCCTTGCAGTGTAGGGGTAAACCCCACTGCAAGTGTTAATAAAAGTTTTGGCGGGAGTTCGGCTTTAATCGCAGGGTATCGCTGATTAACGCTACGCTTATGTGTGAACGGGCCCTCAACAATCAATGACAGGCATTTGTGTGCATTCGTGCTCCGGATGCATAGCTTGATACTGCCATTGTGAATGAGTCTGCTTTGCCATTCCTACCTGGGGAGGTCAGTGCTGAGCATTGGGAAGTTGAGGACAGGGATGAGGGACAAGGAGCCCCTGTATCCCCCCATCCATCCTACACACACTGGACTGACATCGGGGTTGTCTCTTCCATTTAGCTGTGGACATGTGACCTCACTCTGTGGGAACCCTCTGTTTATCCCCGACCATATGTTATTTTATCAGCCTGTGATCTTCATCCTCGGCATCTCTGCCATGCTCCTCTACTACCCACACACAGGGATTGCGGTTCTGTCACTTGTCCCCTCGCCTGCTCTGTGTGTGGATTTCTCTATTCTTCAGAACTGAACTTGTGTCTGCCTTTCCGCATAGTTCACCACCGGCTGGACACACTCTACTGCAGGGCCACCTCCCCCGTACCGTCCGTTAAGCCCTCCGATCCGTCGTTATTTACCGGCTTCATTCCACCAGTGCCCTTTCCTCCGGCAGCCCTAGTCCTGGCTCCACCCCTATCCCCGCCCCCTCTCTCTTCCTCAGCCTGTATTTCCAGCGCTGTCCAGGGCTCGGTGCTGTTGTCTCTCACTGTCTGATTGAGCCCAGGCTGTGCGGGGGCTCCCTGCGGGATCAGAGCGCTCCCCCGCCGGGACTCCACTCCTCACATCCCCCTGCTGGGACTCCGCTCCATCCCCAGCCCAGCCTGGCTTTATTATGTGTGTCTGCAGTGCAGCCCAAGCAGCAGCAGCGAGAGCAGGAGGGGAGAGAGCCGGGACAAAGAGCAGCCAGCCGGACGTGCGGCATGAGATAGGGAACCGGGGCGGCTGCGGCGGACTCACCGCGGCGCATGGGGGCAGCTAGCGGCGTCGGAGAACGGGACACACGGCGAACCGGGGATCAGACACCGATCATTCCCCCCCCGACCGGGGCTAGCGAGCATCGGGCACAGTGACATAGGGAAAGGGAGAGTGCAATAACCACGACCCTAGAAGAGGAGCAGGAGGGTGATAGTATTACCCCGGGCAGGAGCGGGCACACTACAACACCCAGCATCCTTCCCTGGAGTGCGGGCACATACTACTACTCATAATAGACGAGCCTGGATGGGACACATCATGCCTTGTATGAGTTAGGGAAGCCTGATCGCACAATATAGAGACCTATACATAGCAGCACACTATAGATTTGATGAGAGATCTATACATTGAAGGACACTATAGATGGATGAGAGATCTATACATGGAAGGACACTATAGATTTGATGAGAGATCTATACATTAAAGCTCCATATATATATATTGATTAGGGATCCTTTTATTTAGGTACCATATAGGTTATTGATCCATACATTGAAACACTATATAGATTGATTGCACACTACAGATCCATGTATTGAAGAACCCTATCGATTGATACATTGAAGCACACTACAGACTGATCAGTGATCCATCCACTAAAGCACCCATAACGATT